GTGTACTTAAGTGCAGCCTGTGCTACGTTGGCTTCTTTGCACAGACAAAATTGGAAACTGGAGAAACTTTGGAAACTGGCTCTGTAGGGTTTAAGCCTCAAGGCAAAGCTTCTAAAGTTGTCAGAAATGAGTTTTCTACAAAAGAATTGGTTTTGGTCATTATTTTCTAATTGTTTTAGTTCAGTGTCATTGGAAAGAGAAACGTTTACTTTAAACAATTAGTATTGTCAGTCAGTTTCAATTAATGGATAATTAAAATGGGGAAAGTTTGTAAAGCAGCAGAGGTACAACCATGATAAGTCATAATCATAAATCATGTGATGTATGGGGGAAGGTCATGAATTGGATGCTGAAAGGTCAAAACCTGGATTCTGGGCCAGCCAAGTGCTGTCACTAGTTTTTCACCCTGGATAGTTTTCACCAGTTCTCTGTCCACCCTCCCTTTTGTCTTATCTCCATGTATTTGTTACTGAAATTCCTTCAGGGAAGTTCCCATTTCTTATGTAATTTATCCAGAATCTTAAAACTGAAATTGTAAATATTTCTTTTTATTTAGAACTTGAGAAAATTTTGTTTTAACATCAGAATTATTTTTTTTCCGCTTTTCAGCCACCTTTCCTATTAAGCTTTGTTTTTCTGATTGCAGCTAGCTGAATTGCTGTTGTTGAGTACAGAGAGTGAGTTTATGTTTAAATATTTTATATATTTAATGGATCTGCTTTTAGTTTTTGTGAGAAACAGCATTTTAGCTTAAGGTGAAAAAAGGTGACACTTCATTATGGGCAGCAGGGCTCTTATGGATGTCAAATTTCTTCTGAGTGGCTTGCAGTCACGATTCCTTGGCATTAGTCCTCCTTCCATGGTATGGCTGCTTTAAAATAAGTAAAAATGTTCTGAGAGTAACTTTTGAAAACTAACTAAATAAAATAAATACTAGACTCTTTGTCTTCTCCCTGCTTCCTATACATGCCTGTGTCTCCCAAATATGACATCCTACATAGTGGAAGAATTTTTACATAGTAGCATGAAATAATCTCTTTGAAGGTTTCCTGATTACTGTAGATTGTCAGGCACTAAAATAAAGATTTATACTTTTTTAAAATTTATTTTTAGTAGGGGTAACAACTGTATTGCAAATGATAGTTGTTATTTTAGCAGCATCTTCCACAATTTATTCCCGCATCTCTCTGTATAACTTTGCAAATGGCAGATTTGCCTCCTGCTAAATGTTGCTATTGAAACCCAAGGTGATTTTGCTGCACATTAGTACTTTAGGCTTGCTGGAATATGTAAAATGTAGGTCTATCTGAAGCACAAATGCATGCTTGTTTTGGTATTTTGGGGTTTAGGTTTCCGGTACTATTCATTTCGTCATGAACTTTTGTTTCTTCTGGTGCTGAGAATGAGATCATTATTACTGTGATTCATGGAGCTCTCACATTATCCACAGATTACTGGATTATAAAGGCAGAAAGGGAGCATTCTGGCTACTCAGTCTGACCTCTTGCATCACGTTGGTGAAATGATTCCCTTGAATTTAATATTTTGCTGTAAAGTTTGTAGACTCATCTCATCTTGATTTAGATATTTCTAGTGATGGGCAGTCGGTTGCATACTTTGGTGAAATTTGCTTAAAGAATGAATAGCAAAGGAAAAACAGTTAAAACTGTTAGTGCATTTGCTTTTTCTTTTCCTTTTTTTTTTAATTGGGTGCATTCATAAACTAAGTCCCCTTGTGCCCTGTTATTTTGTATGTGTATATCTACAATATCAGTAGCTGTCTATCCCTTTGAGAGCCTTTCCATGTGGGTAGCAGTCTCCATATGTAAAATGAACATTGTTTTCTTTCAGCCTCAAAGAAAACATTTATCTTATGATTGTATAATTTTTGAATACATATTAAGTATTATCTGCCGTTTTCAGCTGTTGTTGTACGTTCTCCTGAACTGTTCCAGCTTTGAAAAGGAGTTTGAAAACAACAGCCTGTTTTTACAACCACTTCCTGCTGATAATCGTGCCCACAATATTCATAGTAAAGGCCAACCCAGTGCTACTGCATGACTCAAGTTTCCCCTTTTGATTTAATGTAGCAGCTACACATCTAATCAGGGAGAGAGATTGCTGGAGGCTACCTTAAATGAAATCCAGAAACACCACATTTTTGCTGTGACCTTTGCTTGCAGTTTCAATGGACACTTGAACTAGCTTCTCTAAGGAGCAAAGGAACTGTATGTTAAAGCATCTGCAGTGTAGCTCTAAATTGACTCAGAGCTGCCTGAACCCTGCAAGTGAATTTCCCAGCTCCTTAGCTCTGATCTTGTGTCACTGTAAATGCATGCAATGCTTTCTGTTCCTTCTTGGACAAAAAGGTGGGGTTGTTTTCCTTACAGTAATAAAGTCTGAGCACTTGTACTATGTTAATAAGTTTAGATATTCTGCCAAAGTGTGTTTAACAGTTTGAGGGGGATGGAGAATGGTATACAGGTTTCATGACTGTAACTGAAATGCCTTGGTTAGAAGAGTAGCTCTCTGGCTCACCTTAGATCTGAATTAGCCTTTGGCACTGATGCTCTTTCTGAATCCTCCTCCAACCAGGCTCTAGGACCACTCAGTTGCTCACTTTGGTGCCTCAATAACCTATGAGCTGCTTTTCTTTTGGTGTTTTTGTTTGGGTTTTTTTTCTCCTAAATTGTAATGAGATCTGTCAGATATAAGTGATAATTTTAGTTTGTCTCAGTGGTGAAGGTATCTCAGAGTGGGCACAAAATAACCAGACACTTCAAGTCAATAATGAGCTGGGAACATTTTAAGACCTAGAATATTTCTTGAGCACAAAATTGGCATAGTGATTTCTTCCTAGATCTGTTTGATGAGCTGACAGTTATTATGGTTCCTTGGCAATTGCATTGCTAAAAGTCTTTCCTTTTTCTCCCTCTTTACAATTTCGAAAAAAAAGTTGCACTGAATTCTGTATTGCTCTGTGTAGATTTCCAAGCTATATATTTTACAGATGTTTTTTGTTTGCAATTTCCTTACTGTGTTAAAATTTCAGATTACTTTAATCTCTTGCATAATACGACCTATAATGGATTTTCGATTTTTTTTTTCAGAGCCATAGTGAGTTTTCAGCTAATTAACTATCCAGCTACGCTGTGGTTTTTAATGTGGGAATTAATTTTCACCAAATAACATTAACATAATGTATTGAATTTTGTAACAAATTTGGAGTGTATTCTTACAATTTCAAATGCAAAATAAGGGTAGAAATGCTCAAGGATAAAAGTTCTTAGCGAGGAAAATGTTTATGTATAAACTGATTATGTTATCTGAATTACTCTCCTTCCACGACTGATAATGTTGAGGAGAAATGTGTACTGTATTACTCTGGCATACCTTAAGAAAAACACTCACTAATACTTATGTTACCACAATAGGTACCAAACTATACTGATGTCCCTGCATTTTATTTAATACTGGACCTCTTAACACATTGCTTCGTACACACAAACTCACATACAGCCCTGCATACATGTTTTCTTTGCCTGCTTCACTCTCTCTCTCTCTCTCTCCTTCTCTCACACTTTGCCTTGACACTCCTTTTAATAATAAAACCAGAACCCTTTTACAACATGTGAGCCCCACCTGAGCAGCTGATAGGAGGTCTGGCATGTGTTCATTAACAGCAGCAAGGAGGTTACCTTTGCACTTTAAGCTTCATGGTGCTTGGGTTTGTTTGTTGGGTTTTTTTTTTCTGTTTGGATACTGTTAAGACAATGCATTTATAAGTGTGCTTACTTTCAGTAAAATCTAGTGGGGAACTTGTAGTGGTTTGGATTGCTTTTTAACTATTGTGTGTTCCAAGTGTGCCCATAATGAGTAATAGATGGTGACCTCATGTTTTGTAGTAGCACAGGATACGATGAAGGGAGTGAAAGCTCAAAGGTAACAGGTGATTTGCTTGGCTGAAGAAGAGAGTAGGCAAAGCAGCTTTCCCTTTACAGCTCTTTGACAGGTCCTCCTGGAAGAGGGCAAAAGAAACTTATTTCAGTTTTCTTAGTTTGCTCTTCCATCTGTGTTTCTGGAATCCTGGGCTCCTAAGCTGTCATAGGAGACTGATGATGCTTTATATTCTTAAGTGCAATAAGAGTATTCTATCTTGATGCTACTATTGTTTTTTTGTTATCACAGAGTAATAGAATGGTTTGGGTTGGAAGGAATCTTCAAGATCATCTCATTCCAACCCTGTGCCATGGGCAGGGACACCTTCCACCAGACCAGTTTGCTCCAAGCCCCATCCAGCCTGACCTTGAACACTTGGGATGGGACATCCACAGCTTCTCTGGGCAACCTATTCCAATTTCTTCCTAATATCCAATCCACACCTGCTCTCTTTCAGTTTGAGTTCATTCCCCCTTGTCCTGTCAGTACATGCTCTTCTTCATCTTTCCTGGAAGTTCCCTTCAGGTACTGCAAGGTGCAAATTAGGTCACCGTGAAGCTTTCTCTTTTCCAGGCTGAACAATCTCCATTCTCTCAGCCTTTCCTCACAGGAGAGGTGGTCTTTCCCTCTAATCATCTTGGTGGCCTCCTCTGAACTCACTCCATGTCCTTCCTGGGGACCCCAGAGCTGGATGCAGCACTGCAGGTGGGATCTGACCAAAGCAGAGTAGAGGACCCAGTTACCACTGGGTCGTTCTTAGGCTGAAGGTTATGGTGAGTATTTTAAGTCACACGGGGTGTTGGCTTGTTCCCTGAGACCATCACTTCACACAGACAACTTGTGCAGTAAATTCAGCAGGTGCTGGCAGGGCTTTTTGGGCAGCCAGACTTTTAACTGGATGTTGGTTGTTAGCATAAGTGGTGCGTTGAAGTACCTAACCCATATTTGCTTTCTTTGACAGTTAAACCTGGGTTTATTTCTTCCCTTTTTTTGGTTTGCTGATGAAATTAGGAAATAGTGTCACATTCAACAAGCATGTATATTCCTTGACTTCTTCACAGACATGTTACTTGACCTCAGTGACCTTCTTCAGGTAATGTACCTTTTTTTAATTTGACTTTTTTTTTCAATTGTTAAACTTCAGGATGTTTTAATTTTTCTCTATAAATTCTGAGTGGAAAATTACTGGGTTCTTAAATCTGAGTAATTGTTCAGTAAAATTAAAGTCAAAAATATTTGCTTGCTTTTATTGCTACCAATAACATACCAAGAGTTAGTATGATCCTTTCAATGCAGTGGCACAGGATCAGATGTTACATATTTTTAAAACAACAGTTGTTGAAGACAAAAATAACCTTTTTGGTAGGTAATTCTGTGTAAATGGATTCGTACTCTACAGAAACATGTTTTATAAAATGTATTTTGAGAGAAATACGAACTTGCTCTCTGTGTGGAAATAGAAAGCTCCACTGACATATGTTGCCTTACCCTCATTCTCCCTGTTACAACTGTTTTACATACAATGTGAGTAGGTTAGTTGCATCTATTTTTGTCCTCCCAGCTGTCTTGGTAAATGGCATCCCTCTGAAGACTATTTATTGCTTGCAGCAATCTGCTGGAATTGCAATAATCAAATGAATCTTTAATTCTTAAAATGAGTAACTTTTTTCTCTTTTCTGAACTCTTATTGAATTATTTTGATTACTCACAACCAAATACTGCGTGTGTAGAATGGGAGTTTCATTTCCTTTCAAACACAAGTAATTTTTCATGGTGAGGATTTTGAAATAGAACGATCACAGTAATATGAAGAATAGTCACAGAATGTGAGGAAGAGGTATTGTATCTGTAAGAGATGAAAAAAGAAAAGATGTCAGCAGGAACAGACAAGAAAGATTGAATGATTTGTCTTTTCCCCTGTGTACATTCCATCCAGAAAAGATGCTGAGATGGGGCATATGAAGACCAAAAGGTTAAAGAAGGGTAACTGAGGAGATGGGAGAGGCAGAAGTACATTATTAGTAGAGAAATAATCAACTCCTGAAAGAGAAAAATCCAAGATTTCAGTATCTTGATCTGCATTGAACTGTGTGAAGGCTTTTGATGAGCTCTACTTTATGGCTTCTTCAAGGTGAATCTGAGCAAACAAGAATGTTAACTGTTATTGTTAAGTATAGCTAGCCAGAAAGTCCTGTTTAAGAATGTAAAAAGGAGCTTTTCAGGTTCTAGCTTGATTTTCTTTTCTCCCACCCCAAGTCTGTTAAAAAAAAAACAAACAAAAACCCCCAAACAAAACCACAAACCAAACAAAAAAACCACAACAACAAACTAAGCCAAAAAAAAAAATAACAAAAAAACAAACACAAAAAAACCCCAAACAACACCTGGGTGGCAAAACTTCAGTACATTCAGAAAACTTCAGTACATTCTGCTTTAGATCAGCCTTTGCCCACAGATTATGTGCCTAAAAAAGAATTAGTTTATTAGAATTAGTTCATTAGGTTGTACTGTTTGACCTTGAAGTGCCTCTTTTTTTCAAGAACAGCTCTCCCATCCTGAAGTTGGGATATGAATGCCATTAAGGAAGAAGAAAAGTTGTGAGCAGTAGTAGTAGTAGCAATGATTTTATATTTCCAAAATATTTAACTTGTTCAGACTCATCTGTACAAAATATGTCATACTGGTCCAGGTAACTGTTTTTCTTGGTAAAATGAGAAAGGTGTCGATTTTACATCACAAAAAAAATCACATGTGAAAGTCTAAAAAATGAGCTACTGCTGACCTGCGCCAAGTCTTGCTTAGCTGATAATACCAAATGTTGAGATTTTTCTTCAGTGTTCTCCTTGATGCAGCTCAGTTGCTGTGGGACGTGAGGGACCTGCAGGGCTGCTCATCATCTGACCGCAGGATTTTTTTGAAGAAAAAAAATGCTTCACCCAGTGAAGCATCCTTATGGAGTGTCTTCATGAAGGCTACTGACTGAATTACTGAACACCCTGAAATAGGTTTCAGTGCATTTGAGGGGGAAAAGATCATAGAATCATTAAGGGTAGAAAAGACATCTCAGATCACCGAGTCCAACCATCGTCCACCACCATGTTCACCACTTAACCATGTCCTCATAACAACCTGTCGTGTATTGTTTCATCTAAAAGCAAAACAGAAAGAAAGCTGTGTAACTCTGGCTACCAGCAAAAAAGATAACTGAAAGCCTGTGAAAAAAGGCCATTTATTGCTGCCTTTTGCCATCTTGCAGCTGGGAACAGTCTTAGCTGTGCCATTCTGCATCACACTTAGGGCACCCTCCACATCAGTGACCTTCAACCAGTGTCTTGCAAGCGCCGGTAGAGCTAAAGCTCTCTGGAGCTCACAACACAGGTATTGGCTAGAAGTAAGAGTAATATGAAGAAGATCTGAATCTGCTGTTACCTGCAACTCAGTATTTAATGACCTGTTGTATTTGTATTCTTCCTCTCTTGCTGATCTGTTTAGCATTTAAAAAAAAAACAAAAAAGGCGTAGAGGAAGTCCTAAGCATGACCTCTCAGGCTCTGGTTTGTACTTGTTGTACAACCTCTCTTCCTGGCTCTACTGAGTTGGTTTGAGATTTAACATTATTAAAAAAATAAAAAGCTGTCCCCTGCAGTGTAATGTGCTTTTAGATAGTATTGTGCTGCTAAAACTTCACATTAGAGGAGCCTAATTTTCACTGTTAATGGCAGTCTGTTTAAGAAGTCTTATCTGTTTTCCTCTTATGCTGATGACTGGGATGTGGGAGTTTGTCTTGTTCCACTGAAGAACTCCTGCATTTCACAGTAGTTTTTGGAGTTTTAACATTGCTGTCACCTTGGGAAAAGCCAAAATGCTTTTTTTTTGTTTTGTTTTGTTTTGGTGTGGTTTTTTTTTAAATTGGAAAGGCAATTTCTTTGGTACTTTTTTCTCCTGTTTTATCTTCAGGTGAAATATATCCTATGTCTTGGAAATCTCCTGTTGGAAGTGTTGTCAGATCAGTATGCCTCTGATACATTTGGACTTTAAAGCATGATCTGAAATGAACTGAAAATGTCCAGACCACTTCCTCGTGCTGAGCAGTCCTGCTGCTTGTTGATTGAGTTGGAAGGACGATCAGTCATCAGTCTCTGACAGGGAAAGTACTTGCTTATATTTTCAGATACTACATTTTACTTGCAAATATAGTCCTTAGAGAGGTCTGTAATCAGGCCTTTTGTTTGCTTTTTTGTTAGTCCAATCTGAGCGACAGGCCTGGCTTGTTTAGGAGAGCTGTGAAGCTTGTCTAGCCTTGGCCAAGTTCTGAACAATTTAGGTTTGTTCCTGTGTTTCAGAGCATCCCATTCCTTGCACCTGGGGAATTATTTGGCTGAAGTTTTGCTTTGGTGTGGGGAAACACTGCCTTTTGCATCCTCAGAAACGGCCGTTTCTTTTTTAGTCTGTTGTTCCACTGTCATGGTCTTTGCAATGTGGTCATAAAAGACTTTGGAGAAAGGTGTTGGCAATGCTTTGATCTCCAGTTTCAGCCTAGTAGAATATAATTTCTGGTGTGCCTTGTGGTGTGTCCTGCTGTTAAACAAGGGTGATGCTCACTGACAAGATGTTGGACACCTGAAGAGCCAGGCTCCTTGTAGGAGGGTGCAGCAGGAGAATTATCAGCAACAGACATAATTAAAGTGAGATGATTATCTGATATCAAGAAGTTTTTTCACCATGAGGACAGCCAAGTGGGGAAACAGGTTGCTCAGAACAGTTTTGAAGTCTTTATCCATGAAGCTTCCCAAGATCCAGAGCAACCCGGTCTGTCATGTGGCTGATCCTGCTTGGAGCAGGAGGTTGGGCTGGAGACCTGCTGAGATCCATTCCAACCTGAATTTCACTACAGCTCTAGGTAAGGGAAGAGGGTGCACAGGAAGTGAAAATCAGTAACTGGTACTTGCTTGGTCTAGTCTTCCTTTGGCCTCTCTTCCACTTCAAACCACAACTCTCATCCCTATTTCTTTATCTTCAGTTTGTCTAGTCAAGTAACAGTACTTTTTCGTCCAGAAGGATTTTTATTGAGAGTTTTCTTTTGGACACTTGTTTTCATTTATTTCATCTAAAGGCAACATTGGCCTCTCTGATTCCTCCGTGCTTGTTGGAAATCATTACTTTTTGACTCTCTTGCATAGATAGCATGATAATGGCTTATTGTACTGCTGTGGTGTTGGGGGAAGAACTCTAGGACTGTGATGAGCAAAAGGAGACTTTCCCTTTGGAGTCCCCAGACTGAAGGCAGCTCTTTAAAGCACAGTATGAGAGGAAGATGCTTAATTTTGATTTGTGTCTCTTTTGAATGACAGCCTGACCAGCTGGGTTTGGTGAATGTTTGTAGTTTTGTGTGTTGCCTTTTGATTCTTCTGATTGCAATATGGATCCAAAAAATAGGAATTTTCAGTTTATTGTATGGAGGAAGGTAAAACAGAGTATTCTTTTAAAGACTGTACTCATTTGCTTCAGTTTTTAATACTCTTTGTTCATTTAAAGTTATTAACATGTTGACTGCATTTGCCTTTATTGCCCCTATGCAAATTGCCATGTTGATTGAGTTAATTTAAACAACCTGGTTGGGACCTTCAGGCATTACTACACTAGAAATGTTAATAATGAATCAAATAACCACAGGTGCCTCTTTCCCCAGCAACAGACACTCTCCTTAAAAACTCATTTGCTTTTCATGCTTGCTTAATTATTTAGGCAAGCAGCCATGGATGTTTCACAGTGTGAATTCTCACTGTGTTCCAACTGCCCGGTCTTTGTCTTTCTAAAAGACAGAATATCTTAACCACTGTCACCATTTGTAATACTTTTCCAGAATGCCACACTATGGTCTTGAAAAGCCCTTTTGGAAATTGCTTATAGCAAAAGGGTTATTGGTTTATGAATTTATGGAACCTTACGGTCAAGCAAAAACTTCTTTCATTCAGTGGTGGCAGCTTTATTTTTTGCCACTGCCCAGAAGTTAACGTGACCCGGTAATTGTATGGATGAGAGACTCCCTCTTTCCCAAAGAGAGTTTAAAATTCGGGAAGGTGTTAGACTGATGAATTCCTGTGTTACTGGAAACGAGGTATTTGTTGTTATTTCTAGAAGTGGAAGTATATTGGTATTTGTGAAGAGATCAGACATGATGTGAAAGCAAGAGAAAATTATGAAAGGATAAGAGTCCCTCTGGAAGTGTCCCTTTGAAATCTGTCTGATGACTGACAGATGTGAAATGAAAAGGCTGTCTCCAAAAAGTACTGTGAAGGGCAAAGAGCATAACAAGTAGAAGGATCTTGTTGTCAAGATGTAACTGAATAATTGGAAGCCATTCCTTCCCTAAATGCTTCTTTTAATTAACATAATGTGTTTGATAATGAGAGCAGAAATTAACTATTGGTAAAGGACAACATCTTAGCGAACCTTAAGGTCTCCTGTAAAAACAGGCTTTTGCAGTGCCTTGGTGAGCACATACTTTTTGTCTGAAAAATGTCTTCCTGCTGAAGAGTCTACTTGTTTTTTAAAGAAAAACCAACTCAGTGACAGGTCTATATGTATCCCCTCTGACAGAGGTTGACACCTGCCTGTTGTATCAGGTGTTGATGCTTAAACCTAGTGATTGCATCAAGTTTAGGAAATTCTAATATCTGATGAAAATTTGTGGAAAAAGAACAATGTCTTATGAAAGTGCATAAACCATTGTTTCACTCTGACAGTTTTGACTGGGGAGAGTTTGGGGAAATACTGTTTTTCGGTAGGATCCTTTTAAATTAAGGGGGAAAAGAGGCTGAAATTGATGTGATACGCTCTAAAGCTGCACCAATTCAAGTTTAAGCCAGAGACATCGTTTTAGAAGGGCATTTTTGTTTATTCACCATTCTAAGAACTCATATAAAATTAGGTTTTATAAATGCAAATGTCATATGATTCTAAATTTGGAGCATTAAGCTTTTGATGGATTGGAGTATATGAATTTTTATAAGAAGTTCTTAATGAAGAAAGAACTAGAAATTAAAGTAGGCCTCTAAATTAATTCTCTTAATTTTCTAAGCTTAATGGAGTGCAAAAAACCATGCAAAGGATGAGAAGTAAAGAAAGGCCCTCTCTACATGCCTATTGTTTATCATATCTCCTCTGTCGCAGGATCTGTGTGTGCACGTAATACTGAAATTAGTGATAGTGGCATAAAATTTTAGAGAAAGAGCAGTCTTCCAGTAAACCCAGAAGTTCTTAAATATCATATTTTAGCAGCTCAATGGCATTACAGATTCCTGGGTGAGCCTTATGCCACCTTTAATTTCTCATTTACGAGCAATGTCCCAGAACCTGTCAATATGTGGTCAGTTTTTAAAGTTGAGAAGCATATTGTTTGAGAGGGCCTTAAGTTGTTGTTTTTTTGGGTTTTTTTCCCCTACTGATTTGCCAGGAAAACTGAAAGCAATTAAATATTCTTCATTCTTTTTGTGATTTTTTTCCCTAGTATTAGAAATGTGTGAGCTTCATGAGGAGGACCATATAGAGCATGTAATTCACTGTATATTTTCCTTTCTTTCTAAGTTGGTAGTAACCAGAAACTACAAAGAAATGTGCTTGTGATCAAAAGAAAGAAATTCCCTGATGTACCATTTCTATTTGCATTTATTATTTTGTACAAATACACTGACTACACCTTGAAGTCAGTCATAAAACACTGAGGATATGAGTGAAGTGGAAAAGCAGGTTAGATTTAGTGTATTACTTCTCAAATAGACTCTGGATCAGGAGGCTCTTAGGCTAAGGAGAGAAAGATATATAGTCATTGAGCACATTTATTATGCATATGTCTTTGCTTTAGATTTAATTTGGCACTCATTTTGATTGTTAGAACTTCACTTAAAAAAACTCCCTTCTTTATGCCTCTTCATATTTATTTGTTCTTTATTATTGCATTTACGGAAAGTTAGCTTGGGTGGAGTTTCTTAGAGAGTGACATGGTTTGATGGAGACAAACATCAGGTATTTGGGTGTCGTGACAAGCAGAAAGATTAGAAGGATAAATACTCGTTTTGAGTTTTGGGGTTTTTTTTCTAGACTAAAATGAAAGAACTAGATGAGTTTGTGAAGCCTCTAATGGAAACATCATATCTCCTTGGCTCCACTGAAGTAACTTTATTGATTTGTGCGGTGAAATCGTCCTTGCAGAACACAATCTAAGGGATGAGGTTTAAGATTTATAGTAACTTGGTCGGCCAGCTTAGAAGGCTGAAACTACAGCCAAACCCTCATTCTTTATGTTAATATTTTTTTAGACAAAAGGTCAAAACAAGCCATTTCGAGCTTGCAGTGAGTCTAAAGCCAACTGAAACACTGCAGATACTTTGCTGTAGCCATATCTGTTCTATCTGCGGCTGATGGAAAGTCACACGCTCTCAGACTCCAGTATGAATTGCCAGATTCAGTAGGTGCTTATTTTTCTGTATGAAACTTGGTGACTTATTTCCTAGAAAATATACTTCTTATTCAGAGGTTATATTTTGTTCACTTCCTTCCCATAGAATAGTGCTTCTATGTTGGCTGCTCTTTTCAGGAAAAAAAAGGACAGTAAAGTTTAAGGCTGTACTTTGGCATCTTCTAGGCTGGTCCAACCCTTGGTCAGATGCAGCATGGAAGGTGTTCACCACTTTTCAATAAATATGGAATGAATTACCATCATATCACGTGTACTTGATTGCACAGTCACTTTCAGGGCACGTGATCATTCTGAGGATTTCTTTGAAGTTCTCATTTCTAATTTTTTTTTTTAAATTTGAGAAAAATACACGTCAAGAACATTTTCACATAAACATTTTGAAGTACTAGGTGAAAATGTATCAGTTGTTTGGGGTTTTATTTTTGTTGTTGTTTAAATATATATATATTTATTTTTGCTAGGTTGGTAGAAGCATATATACACTTGGGAGGAAAGCCTGCTTTTAAACTAATGTCGGCAAAGCTCTTTGAAACCGAAAGAGATTATACTTAGTAACAGGTTTTTAGTTCCATAGGCTTGCACCATGTTCGCAGTTCAGTTGGGTAATTGACTGCTTGGTAAACGCCTTTATTATCCAGGCATAGGAAAAGAGAGGGGCAGTTCTGTTGTATAAAAGCCATAGAGTATATACTATCCTTAAAAAAACCCCAAACCTATTTGTTGGGAGTGTAGGAGGATGGAGTTTTTTATACTAACCTTGACCTTTACATATGCCTTGGGGGAGCAAGGTGTTCACGGAGCTCTGTGGGAATGTTTGGGACTGATAGGGAGCTGGAGTATATCCTGCCTTTCTTGCTGACCACAAAAACACATCTTAAGATAGAGAAAGCAAGCTTCCTCAGACTTGTAAAATACAAATATAGTTGCCTATGCTATAAATTGCAAATCAGAGTATCCTCCCTCAGTTTACATCCTCCTGGGTGCAGCACTGAAGGAGAGGAGGGGAGCAGAGCTCTGTCCCTGGAGCCTGAGCAGAACTAATGTGGTTTAAAGCTTTTCTGAATCTATTTTTTTTATTATTCTTTTTTAATATTCCTAATGTTTTTAATGTGATCTGGGCCAATGTCCAAACAGTAAGAGATGACAAATAACCCTTGGGGCATGTAGCACCACTCCTTGATTTGGTGGAAAGTTTGGCGTGTGCTTATGCAATGCTTAATTATCCCACTACAGATGATCTTGCAGGGCTGAAATTTGCACTGACTTGTGAGTATTTGCTCAGGTTTTGTAATGTTACAAGATAAATGACACTTTATATATACTGATATTATATTGAAGTCTACTTAATGCCTTATGATTTTAGGTGACAACTGAAAAACTATACTACGGAGCAGCACTGAACCCACTGAAGAACATGATGAGCAACTTTTTAAATTTTTTTCAAGATAAATTTATGCTTTGATTTACAATGCTAATTTGTGCAGATTTTGACAAGCACCAAGTATTATCCTATACCTATGAATATCACTCGTATTACTTCAATTGATTTTTTTTAAAGCAGGTTGTTTAGGATTCCCAAAATTGGGGTTTTCTTATTTCCATATAAATGTTCTATTAAAAACATTTGTGGTTTAAGATTTAAATAATTATTTTTTTTGTCTTTTAATAGGTGAATGTCTATGTGCTGGGAAAAACTTTCCTTCTGTTGGCCAGAGAACTCTGCATAAATGCTCCAGCCATAGGTATTTTTTTTATGAGTTGACTTTTGACTATTTGAGTGTGTTTTTTGCGTGATTACTTGACAAAAATATGTATGTATGCCTGTATATATATATACACATAGTACTGTGTGCTAAATATTCAAGTAGTAACTTTAAAATGAAGCTGGAATCAATCCAGGCAGAAGAGCATTGCTGACTGTAAGAGCCTGTTCTCCTTTATGTAAGAGAACAGGCTTTATGTAAGAGTTTTTTTGGAACTAGATGCTATTTTCTTTTGCAAATAATTTTGTTGCTTTTTCTGAGAGTCATTTAGGCCATCCTAAGACAATGGGCTGATGTGTAACAAATTTGTGTGTGTCTGCAAGCTTGCACAGGCCTATCACACTTCACTTCCACAGATGTAACATTTGATAAACGTTTGATAAACATTTGCCAAATTTACTATCTGTCCATCACCTGTAGGTGAGGTGTTCCATGCTCGAAATACAAGTGGCTTGATGGAAAATGAGGAGCAACTTTTTCCAAACATGTGAATAACTTTAATAAGTCAACACTGAAATCATAACCGTGATAGGAAGGTGGGTTTTAACCTGTCAAAAGGCCAAAAAAGCTGTTGTCTGGGCTGTGGCTTTTAAGCCAAGGGAACTTGTGCCAATTCCAGTTAAAAGAGTGCATTTACAGTGAGGTCTTGTGACTCTTATCCACCTCTGTTCAGGAATTATCTTCGTGTATCTTTACCCACTCTTACTCCCACTCTCTTTAATCTGTACTGAGAGAATCAGATGTCTGTGTTGAAGAACAACACACACACACACCCCTTCAGCTGTACTCAGCTGGCACTGAACTGCTGCCTTTGCAGCAAGAGAACCAGCAGCTCATGCTGAGCATCACCTGGGCAGCTGTTGGCTATCCTGGTGTGCTGGCTTTGTCTGGTAGAAAGTTCTTGTTTTCAATAATTCAGTTCCCTTCTTATTTTTCATTATTTTTTTTGAGAGAACAGGCAGAATTTGTATTGCAGCTTAGCTTCAAGGTGAAAATTAATGCAGATTAGAAAAAGGCAAACAAGAAATGTTAGCTGTAGAGGTACTTGTTGTACATGGAAAAAATATTGGTTTAGACTGCTGTTTGAGTATTCTTTACAAGGTCATTACAAGAAGAGAGATTTATAGAAACCAGTAGGTATTTCTAATTGGCTCATCTGTAATGATTGTCAGACACTTGAGAAAAAAACACCTACTTTTATCACTCTCTAAGAAAAGTTAAGGGTACTAGCATAAAATGACTGCTGATAGTGCATGAGACTATGCAGAATGGGGGGGAAGATCCAACACTTTTTGTTAAAGATGGCTTATTTCTAATTAGCACTCTTGAGTGAACCTAAAGACCATTTTGCAATTATTTCTCTAATGTCTGCTGCTAAATATTGTAAGGACGGGATGTAAATTTAGATGGTGGCTGCCAGTATTACAGCTCTGGGCTAAATTTGTGAGGGAGCCTGTCACTGCATTAAGCTTCATCTGTATGTCTTGACTCTAGCCTTTCAAATGGGGTACAGTTTTGACAGGTGCAAGTGGCAGTGTTGCTGTTTGCTGGGCAGGCTGGAGGTTACTGCAGATGATGTGTGTGAAGGGGTATTAGAAGCTTTCAAATATAACCACAGGATTATTTTGATCAACTTTGATTATACTGATGGTTTGTCTGTCTTCAGCTTGGGCAATACACGAAAACCCCAAGCTTCCATAAATGTCAGCTCCCTTTTTTTTGAAGGGAAATAAAGGCTGCTGATGGATAGTTTAAGTTACCAGGCAAGGGAACCTCTGTATTTGCCATGTGTAAATGCACGAGGACCAGACCATAATGTCATCACCCCTGTTAACTGTACGTGAATTAACATACACGAGCCATAAGATCAGCAATGATCAAGTACACAGGATTTAGGGCAAGTAAAAATGTTTTATATTTCACAGATTCTTAAACTGCTCTAGTTTAGAACATTCTGTTTAAGTCAGCAAGTTAGTTATCTATATACAAAATAAATGCACAGTACGTGCAAAATTTAACATTTTTCTGCTTGTTGCAGTCTTAATAATTAAGTCAAATAGCTTATGAATAAATAAAATAAGATTAAATTCAAGAGCATTCCTTCACTTATTTGTATAGCCTGATGTAGCAGATAGGTAAGTAGCGCAACATTCCATACTGCTGCAGAGTTCATAGTAAAACCGAAAAATCCCTTAATGTGCATCATTGCAGCATTGGAATACAATCAAGGTGAAATGCATCATGCATAGAAAATGAGCTCAGGTATTTGTCCTCCTTGTACTCCGGTTCCATTAGTACTGTCCGAGGAGCACTGGAACTGGAACGTCACTTTCCCGCATTGCACTTCAGTCATTCCCTCTTGTCCAAAGTAACTGAGTTCGTTACCGTCAAGAATAGCACTTACATTGTAAAATGTGTCTTGCTCAACCTGCACAGGGTGTTCAAACCACACAGAGAAGGTGTTGCTGGAGCCGTCAGAGGTAAACTTTGTCAGATTTTGAGCAAGGACAACGCCTAAGCGCTTCAGTTCGATTTTGACGCTGTACTCAGCTTTGCCACAGCTCGACCCATACAATCCCAGTCCTGCTATAAATATCCGTTTGTCTACGGCAAACTGAATACTGTCACATCGCCCTCGGTACCTCCACTGATTGCTGCGATACGCAGACGACTGGAACCGATGGCATCGCTGAGGCACGAGTCCTTTTCTCTTTGTCAGTGGAAACTCTAATTTGGGTTTGTTTGCGGCTGTGTACCATAGGAATATGTTGTGAGTTTCCTCAAGGGTGAGGATGTCGGACTGGGCAGCTCCGTTGGCAAACTCTTCCAAAGTCATGGTTGGAATCCGCACCAAGTACAAAGCTTTCCCTAATACATTCCTCTTGTTGCGTGGCGTAACGGGCAGCCCTTGCCTTTTGCATTCAGCCTCTGCCCAGTTGAGAACAGCCTCGAAAACTACCACTTCCTTGGTGTTGAGTGCCTCCCGGGTTACAATGATCTCTAGTGTTTGTTGATCTATCTCACAGAAGCCCTCTGACTTCAGTGCCATTTCTGCCTGAGCATCAATCACTTCCCAGCAGCGCTGCGTCAGCTCTGGCTCCTCGAAGAGCCTGCTCTGAGACAGCAGGACACAAGCGTTCTTCGCTTCTAAGCTGGTCTCCAAAAAATTGACGCAAGCCTTTGCTAGGGCCGGCACGATGTACTTCTTGGCAGCATACAGTGTAGCCAGAACTGTGTCAGCTTCCAGGTCTATTTCATCACTATACATGTATCTAGACGGGGAAAAAAAAAATAGTTTCTTAGGGAAAAAAAAGAAGTAGGCCATGAAAATAATCTATAGTCGTCTTTGCTGGCAGTGAATCTGACATTCAGTATTTGTCAGCACATTAAGTAAACAGCAATAAGTGCATATTGCACAATGCCAATTAGGAGATGTATATTTTATAAGCTACTTTGATTTTGTCCATGTAATTAGTAGACTTGTAGAGGCCACTTACTTTAATAGGATTAGAAAGGCTGCAGGTTCCACATCTGGTATATGGATTTCAGATTTGACCTCTGCGAGATCGCCATAAAACATAGCATAGAAGACAGAGCTACCAACTGCCAAAACATACTGGAAAATAAAGAGAGAGAAGCCTCAGTAACATGGATCAGGAACAGCTGAGCGTGCTGGCTTTGCTAAGAGCTACATTTAGGGAAAGTTACAAGCTGCAGTGGAGGCAGAACACTGCCTTAGACTGTTCCCTTTAATTGCAGTATATGTGAATTACTTCTGGGATTAGACAAGAGCTGTAATTAGGGGGGGGGGAAAAGTGCAACCTAGTTGTAAAAGCAGAGGTAGAAGGCAATCTGCACGGCAGCATTAAAAAGCCAAAAAATTATCTGCACAAACCTTATGGGCAGGAACTTTCTTGGATGCCCCTGGCGGGCCCACGATGAAGTGAACGTCAGCCATGAGTTCGTTATTGAACATCAGCGCGTTCCTGCAAGCAGGG